GCCGTCGGCCAAGCAGTGTCGGCTGGCGACCCCCAGGGGGAGGGCCTTCTCTGTGGGTGCCCCCGCCCTCTGGAACGATCTACCCCCCGAGATCCGGATGATTCCGGATCTCCTTACTTTCCGCCGCGCCCTCAAGACATGGCTTTTCCAACAAGCAGGCCTGGCCTAGGGAGGATTTTAAATCGGGTTCATTTTTTTTTCTTTAGAAAATTTTAAACAACACAACTCTAAAATATTTGGTTTTAATTTGGTTTTATTGGGTGGGGATTATAAATATGTTTCTGTTTTTAAATATGTTGTGAGCCGCCCTGAGTCCCGTCGGGAGAAGGGCGGGATATAAATCAAAATAAATAAATAAATAAATAAATACCGTACTAGTTACATAAAATATCAGACATTTGACTTGGTATGTTTTGTATATACAGTGGTGCTTAAAAGACCTAAAATGTGATCTGTTCTCCCCACCAATCCTAAACCTGGATAAAGAGAACCTAATTAAACAAGTGAGTCAAAACATTATATTCAATTATTTATTGGGAAAAAGGAACCTTTGCTTTCAGTAACTGATGTCACACACACACATCCCACACACAGCAATAACTGCAACTAAAAGTTTCTGGTAACCATTGATCAGTCCTGCATATTGGCTTGGTGGAATTTTAGGCCATTCCTCCTTATGGGGGAGCTTCAATTCAGGGAAGTTGGTGGGCCTCCTCCCATGAAATGTCCTTCCACAACAATTTGATTAAGGTTAGGATTTGGCCATTTCCACACATTAGCTTTCTTCTACTTTAAATGTTCTTTGGTCATACAAGTTGTGCATTTTGGATCATTGCCTTGCTGCATGACCCATTTCTTTTGAGCTTCTATTCACAGATTGATACCTTGACATTTTCCTGTAGAATTTGCTAGCATGGTTCAGAATTCATAGTTCCATCAATGATGGCAAGCTGTCTTGGCCCAAAAGATGATACTGCCACCACCACGTTTCAAATAGGGGATAAAGTTCTTATGCTGAAATGCAGTGCTTTCCTTTCACCAAACCTAATGTTTTTCATTCAAGTCAGAAATTTCTATTTTGGTCTCATCTATGCACAGAATATTCTTCCAGTTGCCTTCTGGTTTTCTGCATGGTCTTTCGCAAATGATAGATGGACAACAATTTTCTTCGTTTGGAGAGTAATGGCTTTCTCCTTGCAACCCTGCCAGGTACACCATTGTTGTTCAGTGTTTTCCTGATGATGGTTTCACAAACACTGACATTCACCAATGCAAAAAAAGGCCTTTAGTTCCTTTTACTCTGTTACTCTGGGCTTCTTTGAGACTTCTTGAAGTATTACACACCTTGCCTTTTGTATGATCATGGTTGGTCAGCCACTCCTGGTGAGGGTAACAGTGGTGTTGAATTATCCCTATTTGCACACAGTCTGCCTGAGAGTGAATTGATAGAATCCAAACTCTTTGGAAATAATTTTGTAATATTTTCAAGCCTGGTAAGAATCAACAGGAGATGCTAAAAAAAATTTCCTTTGTTTGAACCATAACACACTTTCCTATTGCAAAGATCAGACTTTGAAAGGGAATACTCAGAATTCCATTCTTTAAATAAGGCAAATCTTCCACACTCCCCCCCCCATTATCCTCCCATTGATTGAAACCCCTGATTCTAATTTCCCCCTTCAAATGAATTGATAATCCTAGAGGGTTGTTTACTTTAGCCACACTTTAGTCTGTAGCTTTCCTCAGTAAATAAATGAATTATAATGTTTGGAGTCATTTGTTTAATTGGGTTATCTTTAGCTTTATCTATATGGAGAACAGATTATTTTAGGTTATATTTCTGCAGAAATATTGTATATTTAAACAAGTTCACACACCTTTAAGTGCCATGGTAGATGCAAAACATAATAAGACTAATGCCTGGTATTTTATTGGACAGTTAACAAGAAAGAACTTATGCTAGAGGGGCTGAAGAAAAGTTATTTAAGTAAAAGATCATATTTCTTGTTTAGCAAGGTTGTTTTATTTATTTCAGCAGGTGTATTTATATATGTCATTTGTACAACAGTATCAATGTTCTGCCGGATTGCAAAATGACTATTAACCATTTTCTTCCTTCTTTGGATGGCCTAGAAGAAAAAGGTGGCTTGGTGTCAGAAAGCTATGGAGAAGACGACTTCAGTAAAATGGAAGGAGAAGAGGATGGTTATGATGAAGACGATGATGAAAACAGCAGACAGTCAGTAGGTATTTTGTTATATAGCAATCAAACTTGGATTGCAGGTTTCACTAGAGCAATATAGGAATATTAACTTTTTGTGCCTTCTTTGTTGCTTTTGTTTACATATATTGTATTTGAAGTTATCACAGAATTGCTAGAGGAATGCTTAAATAAAATGGAAAAGCCCATTATTTATCCCTAACGTCCTTCAGTGGCAATGCTTTTTTGTTTGCAAGATCAAATCTTAATGTAAAAATAGAATGATCCATTTTATAGTTGATGTACACTTGACATTTCTATATTCTAGAAATAAATTTCTATATTCTAAAATCTAAAAGTAA